AGCAACAAAAGAGCTAGCTCGCTTCAGAATGTTCTTGATGACGCAGTAAAAGTTTTTAGTTTTATTATGTCTCAATCCTTGAGTCCTTGTCTTCTTCACTTACGCTGCTTGCTGAAGTATGATGGTCGTCTTGAAGAAAAGCATTCATGTAACTTTGAGCTGTAAGCTAAACTGACTGCTTTTTTTTTACAGAACACTATTTTTACTTTGGCACTTCGAGGAAAACAACTGACATTATTTATTGCCCATGATAAAATTTGAGCTTTCACATAAATTAGAATTTTGGAAACCTTGTATCTGACACATGATACGTGTTTCCTTATACTTAAAGACTTGTCTAAGATCAGCAGTGATATTTACCAATGTGATTTTTTGATATCATATAATGAAAAATGTTTACATTTAGAAGATCAGCATAATGAGCCAATATTTTCTAAATGATGTAAACTTTCTAAGTGCATGATAAAAAAAAATCACTGCATGGGTAAAAGATACATTTAAAGTAGAAGACAGATTTTACTGTAACCCAGTGAAAAAAAGTTCAGTTGATATTGTCTTAGTCTACTAGGGCTGCCTTAACAACATACCCCAGCCCAGTCAGGGGGGCTTAAACAACAGACACCGATTTCTCACAGTTCTAAAGGCTGGGAAGGCCAGTTTGGTTCCTGGTGAGAGAGGCTCTCTTCCTGGCTTTCAGGAAGATCACCTTCCCACTGTGTCCTCACATGGCAGGGAGAGAGAGCAAGCTCTCTGGTCTCTTCTTATAAAGACATTAATTCTATCAGATCAAGGCCCCACCCTTATGAACTCATTTAACCTTAAGTATCTCCCTATAGGCTCTACCTCCAAATACACATTGACGGCGTTAGAGCTTTAACAAATGAATTTTGGGGGTACAGAAATTAGTCTGTAGCAGATACAGTCTCAGATTCTAGATTGGAACTAATTTTTAAGAAACTGCCAAATCCTGGTGTAGTACAAGGACAAATATCCACAATTATCTGAAAAAGCAATTAAAATACACCTTTCTTTCCCAACGATGTATCTGTCTGAAGCTGGATTTTCTTCACATACATAATTCAACCAAAATAACTTATCCTAACAGATTGAATATAGAAGCATAGGGGCGCCTGGGCGTTAAGTGTCTGCCTTCGGCTCAGGTCATGATCCCAGGGTCCTGGGATCGAGCCCCACATCGGGCTCCCTGCTCAGCGGGAAGCCTGCTTCTCCCTCTCCTTCTGCCCCTGCTTGTGTTCCCTCTCTCGCTGTATCTCTCTCTGTCAAATAAATAATTAAAATCTTAAAAAAAAAAAAGCATATACGATAACCTGGTTTAATGTCTTTAGTACAGACGTGAAAAAGATTTACGAAAATATAAAACAAGCTTCTCTCCTAAATTTTAGAAAATGTAATTATTTTTCATAAAGTGTTATTTATGTTAACATAATGGACTGGGCTTATTATTATTACTTTAAATTAAATAAGTAAATGCTTAAAGTTTTTATTAGTTTTAATTTGTAATAGGATAAACAGTAAATTCACATGAACAAAAGCACTTTGAGGTCATCAAAGATTTTTTTAGTGTCACAAGTCCTGGGACTAGAAAGTTCTATAACTGCTGGTCTAAATCATTTCTCAAGAAATTCAGACACATAGATGTTTTAACCACTTCATTTTCTTAAAGACATCTCTCCTAGAGCCTTCTGGCCTGCTGCAATCTGGATCGACTATTTTCTATACGTTCGTAGGACTTTGTGCCCTAGGGGCTTTCTTCACCACCATCTACAGGTGTCAGCCAATTATGGCCCATGGGTCAAATCCAGCCTGCAACCTATTTCACTTTTTAATTTAAATTCAATTTAATGAACATATAGTGTATTATTAGTTTCAGAGGTAGAGTTTAGTGATTCATCAGTTGCATATAACACCCAGTGCTCATTCCATCACGTGCCCTCCTTAATGCCCATCACCCAGTGACAGCCACCTATTTTTTAAGTAAAGTTTTACTAGACCACAGCCATGCTCTTTCATTTATGTATTGTCTGCTTTTGCACCACAACAGCAGAGTTGAGTAGTTGTGACAGGGACTGAAATGGCCTAAAAGCTTAAAAAAAAAAAAAAAAGTGCTATTCTTTACAGAAAACGTTTCCCAATCTGTGATCGAGGTGATTCTTTCACTGCTTTCCTTGGTTTATTAGCTCCCTGAATCTTAGGTCTTCCTCCTTCCTGATTTACTCTTTCATTTTGGTGAAGCACATCTTCTGGTAGCTTCCTCAGAAAGGGTATAGGAGAGGTACTTTTTTTTTTTTTTTTTTTTGAGGCCTTGCATGTCTGAAAATGTCCTTTCCTACTCACACATTTTATTGAGAGCTTAGCGGGGTACAGATTTTTTGCACAGAAATCAGTTTTTTGGAAACCAGGAAGCTTTATTTCATTGCCATCTAGCTTCTAGGGTTATAATAGAAAAATAGTCTGAAGGTATTCTGAGTCCTGATATACTGTATGTGATTTTTTTTTTTCCTTCTTAGAAGCCAAGAGGATCTTTCCTTTGTCCTTGGTGCTCTCAAATTTTATGACGTCGTGGCCTGGAGATGATGCATAGCCACCAACGGTGCTAGGGCACTGGGTTCTTTCACTCTGGAAAGTCACATCCTCCGGTAAAGGGACATTTCCTTGAATTATTTTGTTGATCATTTCTTCCCCCTCTATTTTGACTGTTCTCTATTTCTGGAATGTTCACTGAACAGATATTGGATATCCTGGACTAGTTCTCTTATTTTCTTATCTGTTCTATATCTTTCTGGGACAATTCCTCAACTCTTATCTTGAGTCTTCATTTCTTCTATCATGTTTTAAATTTTCATGAGCTCTTCCTTCCTGCCCCCCAGCCCTGTTTCTTTTGTAAAGTATCTAGATCTTATGATATAATTTCTTAAAAAAAAATTCTCATGGGATATAAATGACAGTTTCTTTTCCCTGTATAGTCTGTTTTGCCTTAGTTGCTTTTTCCTGTTTGTTTGTTTTTTTTTATTTCTTGGCAGAGGCTTTGGTCTTGTTTGTCTCTCTCTTTTTTAAAATTTTATTTATTTATTTGAGAGAGAGAGTACGAGTGAGGGGGAGGGGCAGAGGGAGAGCAGACTCCCCACTGAGCAAGGAGCCTGATGCGGGGCTCAATCCCAAGACCCTGGGATCATGACCTGAGCCGAAGGCAGACAGACACTTCATCGACTGAGCCACCCAGATGCCCCCCACCTCTCTTTTTTAAAGTAATCTCTTCACCCAATGTGGGGCTTGAACTTATGACCCCAAGATCAAGAATCGCCCGTTCCACCGACTGAGCCAGCCAGGTGACCCTCAGTTGGCTCTTTATACATGGAAGTGAAATACTAAAATGCTGATTTTTAGTGAAATCCCTCAAAGCTCTGCTTGTGTTGGTGGAGCTTCCTGCCTCTTGGCTTTCCTGCAGGGAGACGCAGCTGGGCTATTGGTAAGGAAGCCCCCAAGGTTCTGATCTTTAAATCTTCTTCACACTCAGATTCCTCAAAAAAAGAGTTTCTCGTCTCCTGACTTGAGGGTGTAAGGCTTGGCAACCAGAATTCTGGGCTTGGTTGGAAAAGAAAGCTGGGATTTTCAACATTCAGGATGCTGGCACTCACTCAGCCTCTCCCAAGGGACCACGACCATCAAGTGTGTTTGGTGTCCTCTATCAGACATTCTTCACTTGATATCCAGTCCATGGAATAAATTTCTGGTGTTCTTCCAACTTATGGGAGGGGCGATCTTTCTAAACAAATTTTCGACCAATACAATCAGTTTCCTCTTCACCCACCTCTCCCCCACTTTGTGGAGTTACCTGGTGCCATCGATTTCTGAATTTCTTTAGGGTTCTGCTATGTAGAATCGGGTTGTTTCTTGGCTTTCTCCATCGCTGGCTCAGGATTCAGCTTTCTCAGTACTGCTAAGTCAGTTACCACTCATCCATCTGCTTCCAGCTTCCAAAATTTTGTTGCTGTTGTCTGCTCTCCCATTCTCTTTGTCCTTGTGGGTTTATGTCTTTAAAAAAAATCTCTTTGCTGTTGTTTTAGTGAGGTTTTGGGAGGGAATGAAAGTAAATGTGGGTATTTGATCCTCCATCTTTATTTGGAGTCTCTTTATAATTCAATATCTTCTTTTTACTTCCATTTAATATCACAGCATAAACATTTCCTATGTTCTCACATGGTCTCTATCACAGCTTTAGTAACTGCATCACATTCCACTGAATGCCACATCTTACTTCATTGTTGCCTTATTTTTGCATGTTTAGGGTTGTTTCTGCTTATGGGGAGGAGACTAGTTTTTCCTGGAGTTATGTTCTATTTATCTGTCTTATTTAGGCCCTATCTTTAGGGAATGCCTGCTGACATTCTTCTCCTTTCTGTTCTTAATCCAGTGGGTCTTGATTATGGCATTATCTTGTGCCAATTTAATTCATCTTCAAACTACCAGGTCACCTGCACAATGCTGGTGCACTAATCTTCCTAAAATGTCACCTTTCTCACGACACTGCAGAGGAACGCTAACACCCAGAATTCATTTGTGACTGGCATTTGAGGCTGCTTCCAGTTTGACTCCACCCCGTCTACCCAAACTCACAACCCTTTCCCCAGATGTCCTCTCAGGATGTTCCTCCTGCCACTGCCAAGCCACATTCGCCTTCATGTCCATCTTATCTCCTGCACTAAGCCTCCCCACTTGACTTTGCTTACACAATTTCTTCCTTCACCTGATAAAAGATAAGAAACAAATAACTTGTTTCTAATTGCTTAGGGTCAGTCTGGCCTTCTAAATGGACTGACAGCTCTTCAGAGGCAGGGGGCTCTTTTCTGTTCTTCCCTGTGGTAGCTGCCCCTACAGTGGCCCTCATCCTCCCACCACGGGACTCCAGCTTGGCCCCAGGCACACAGTGAGTGATTAACCGGGACTCATTGAATGAAATGGCCATGGGTGTAAGTTGTTACCTTGCCCTCCGGGGTTAGCGTCCAGATCACAGAGAAGGTCAGCTTGTCGGTCATGGGATGGAGGCTGCACAGCTCCTCGCACAGCAGCCTGGGAAGCATGGGGACGACCTGCAAACAGAGAAGTGGCCCGTGAGCACCTTCCTACAATCTGCAGGAGTTTACCACAGGCTTGGGAGCAGCCCAGAGGGCAGAGTTTTGGTGAACAGCTTGAGCTTCCGGAGCAAGCTGAAGATGGAGGCAGCTTTTTTCCCCAAAGACTGCAGAAAGACCAGGCTATCTGGTACTTTTTCCAAGAGCTTCTAGAGAAATGGGAATGTGAACTGGAAAGGTGAGAAGAATTGGTAACAGGGAAAAAATACATCACAGCAATGAAAAATGACTTTTTACTCTATACTAAGACCAAAGCTCTAGAGTCAAGAATGACTTGTACTTTTGGGTGTAACTATTCCGGTTGAACTATATACTTAAGAACCCAATGTCTTATACTTAAATCTTTAATTCAAGCTAATTTGTGTGTGTGGTGTAAGACAGGGGTCCAGTTTCATTCTTTGCATGTGGCTGTCAGTTTTCCCAACACCATTTATTGGAGAGACCGTCCTTTCCCTAGGGACCGTCAAAGATTAGTTGGCCATATACACACAGGGTTATTTCGAGCTGTCTATTCTGTTCTATTGGTTTGTGTGTCTGTTTTTATGTTGGTACCATACTGCTTTGATTATTATAGCTTTGTAACATAGTTTGAAATCAAAAGTGTGGTGCCTCCAGTTTTGTCTTCTATCTCAAGATAGCTTTAGCTGGTCAGGGCTAGCTTTTGTGGTTCCATATATGAATTTTAGGATAGATTTTTCTGTTTTTGTGAAAAATGCTATTGGAATTTTGACAGAGATTACACTGACTCTGTAGATAACTTGGGGTAGTATGGGCATTTTAACAATATTAATTCTTGCAATCCAAGAACACAGGGTGTCTATCTTTACACTTATTTGTGCCTTTGTCAATTTCTTTCATCGATGTCTTATAGTTTTCAGTGTACAGGTCTTTCACCCCTTGATTAAATGTATTCCTAAGTATTTTATTGTTTTTGGTGCTAGTATAACTGGGATTGCTTTCTTAGTTTCTAAATCATCTCAGATCTGTTAGAATGGTTATTACCAAAAAGACAAGGAATAAAAAATGTTGGTGAGGATGTGGAGAAGAGAGAACACTTGTACAATGTTGCGGGGACTGTAAATTGGTATAGCCATAATGGAAAATAGTATAGAGGTCCCTCAAAAAATTAAAAATGGAATTACCATTTCATCCAGCAATCCCACTTCTGGGTATATATCCCAAGGAAAGGGAATCAGTACTTTGAAGGGATATCTGTGCTCTCATGTTCACTGCAGCATTACTCATCATAGCAAGACATGGAAACAACCTACACATCTGTTGACAGATGAATGGATAAAGAAAATGTGTATATACACATATACTATGGAATATTATTATCCATAAAGAAGAAGGACATCCTGCCATTTGTGACAACACAGATGAACATGGGAGAGCATCCTACAAAGGGAAATAAGCCAAACAGAGGAATTCAAATACTGTATAGTATCACTTACATGGCAGTGGCCAGGGGGGAGGAAAAATGGGGAGATGTAGGTCAAATGGCACATACTTTCCGTTATAAGATGAATCAGTCCTGAGGATCTAAGGTACAGCATGGTGACTACAGTTAATAGTAGGGTGTTGTACACCTGAAATTTGCTGACAGTAAATCTTAAGCATTTCACCACACACACACAAAAGAGCTAACTGTGTGAGGTGATGGATGTGTTCACTATCTTCATGTTGGCAATCATTTCACAATGTACATGTCTCAAATCATTACACTGTACACCTGCAATACATACAACTGTATTTGTCAATGATTTGCCAATAAAGTTGGGATAGATAAAAGAACCCCACTGCTGAGTGTAAACTCATGATGGGGTTTTATTACAGTAAAATTGCAGAATCAACACTTTAGTGATTGAAAATATCACAACTGACCAAATTGCTTGTTGGAACATAACAGGATACTCCAGTAAAATATCACATGTTTCCTAGAGGAACACTGTGGCCAACTAGTCACTCATACTGCAGTTCTTTAAACCTAAATTATTTCTTCCCTTTATTGATCTTTCTAGTCTATAATAAACTGATCCACTGGTTTACCTTCTTTCACTAAAAAAAAACAACTTCTCTTCAACTTACTTTCAAATGATGACTTCAAAGCTATCCCAGAATGCTACCTGTTTTCTCTAAAGTTCCCAAGATGAAGACCGTATCTCTACCTGGCTGTCCTGAAGATACCTCAGACTCACTCCTCCCTTTAAATCTATTCCTTCTTCTGCACTTTTCTTGATTAACAGCATTATCATTCACTCTGCTCCCAAACTAAAAACAGCCACAGTAATAGCCTTTTATTCAACACACTGGCTGTGGACTCCTCGATTCACAGTAGCAAGTACAGGTAACTCAGCTAACACTTAACCCTGCCTTAAGTAGCTGAGAGGGAGTAGGCAAGAGAGATAACTCTGTACTAGCTGAGGTAAAGTTATCCAGTTAAGTCTATTTATCAGCAAAAGCAAAATAAGTCCTAGTGGTTTCTTACTCTGTGTGAAGGGACCTGTACCCTGTTTCAATACAGTAAATAACACTTCATATGGAAAAGTAAATTCTAGAACTCACAGCCCACACCAGTAACAAATAATTTATAACTGTATGGCATTACTTGGCATTATTCTGAAGGATGCGAGATTTCTTTTTAACGCCTATGTAAAATTCAATGACCATCTGAAAACTTTTGCTAACAGCTTTTATAACACAATCACTTTTGAAATTTTTCTTACTATTGCTTTTGCACCATCTGTTCAGATGACACTACATTTTCTTCAACTTATTTAATGAGTGTTAAAATATGATCTTTATATTTAACACTGTCTTGCAAGTATCAAGCGTTTTACCAAATAATACATCGTCACTTGTGTAAACATATGGTGCAAAATGGAGAAAGTCTCCATACCATACTGTCTCGTGACTGAATTGTAAATATTTCCTATCATTTCAGCTTTTGGATTGTGCTACGGATTGAATTGTCTCCCCTCCCCCCAAATTCCTTTGGGGGACCCCTAACCCTCAATGTCACTGCATTGGAGGTAGGGTCTTTAGGAGGTAATTAAGGCTAAATGAAGTCCTAAGGGTGGGGTGCTGATCCGACAGAGAGAGTAACTCCCCTCTCCCCGCCCTGCACAGACAAAGAAAAAAGGCCATGTGAGGACTTGGCCATCTACCAGCCAGGAAGAGAGTCCTCACTGGGAACTAAACTGGTTGGGACCTTCATCTAGGACCTCTATCCTCTAGAACTGTGAAAAAAGAAATGTCTGTTGTTTAAACTGCCCAGTCTCTAGCATACTGTATGACAGCCCAAGCTAAGAGACTAAATCAAATTTGTGGGGCGTGCATTCTTGGCTTCTTCTCTGGGCTGCATTATCTGGTAATTATACCAATTGTATTTTGGTAGTAGGCTACTCACCCTGCATGCTTGTAGTCCAGGACTTCATACCTCTTTACATATAGCTAGAGTTTCTTCAAAGTGTTCAAGGAACTATCTCATTGTGAATGACAAAGCTGAGTGTAGGAGAATGTAATGCAATTCCTGGCTTCCTGTTTTAGTGTTTGGCAAAAGAAAGTCATTGCAACTGAATGCAATGTGCTATCCTGGACTGGACCCTGAAAGAAGACATTAGTGGAAAAGCAGGTGAAATCCAAATAAGGTATGGATTGTAGTTAAGAGTAATGTTCTAATATCAGCTTCTTGGTTAGGACAAATGTCCTAGGGTACTGTAAGATGTTAACACTGAGGGAACTGAGTGTAGGGTATGTGGGACCTCTTTGTACTGTGTTTGCAACTTTTCTGTTAAATTTAAAATGATTCCAAAAAGAAAGAGCTTATTAAAAAGAAAACTACTGCTTTCATGAATTGATCTCATAAGTTACGCATTTTAAATATGAAAGAAATTTAAGCTAATGAAATATAACCTGATCTGTTCTTATATATTAGAGTTTGGGCTTAAGATTTTATTTGCCAAAAGGCCTTTACCATTAAAAAAAGGTCTAAAGACCAGCAACCAATAGAGTGAAGTCCATACTCATCAGCAGCATGATGCAAGAAAAAGAGCAAAGGATCTGAAGCCAGACGGACTTGAGGTCTAATCCTGGGCCCATCACTTCCTGTACAATTTGGGCAAGCTAGTGTAATTCTGAGCCTAGTTTTCTTACTGGCAAAACAACACTGAAGATGCTCAATACAAATCAGCTTGCTGGCCGTCCCCAGGTCTCCCAGGTCCTTGGGTCACCTGGCTTGGCCTTCCCCTTCAGCTGGGCTGCTCATGGCACACCCTTCGCCTGCCAGGCCTGTAACTGCTCTAGCTCTTGCCAAGATAGTTCTCTCTCTCTCTGGGACATCTTTCTGGATGTTTTGCATCTGGCCAACTTCTGCACATCCTTGAAGATTCGGCTCTTCATCATCCCTCAAAGGCTTCTCCAGATCCCCCCAGGGGAGGATGTACTGTGTTCTGAATACTTTCCCCACCCACCTTTATTCTTTCAAAAAGGATTTGAGGCAGTCCTAAACAGTCATTTACTCCATCCTCCCAGCTCTTTCGTGACACTTCTATGGCTCTTAACACCCCCGAATCACTTCTTTATGTGCCTCTCCCCTCCACTACACCATAGAATCCTCAGGAATGAGGACAAGCTCTTGTTCCTGTCTCTCCACCTAGCACCTGATACAGGGCAGGCACTCTGTCTGCAAATGACTGACTTCTGCCCAGGAAATGAATCACTTTCTCTTTCTGTGTTTGTTATTTATTGCATCACATAAAACATTTTATGAAATACATGGTGGGCTTCTATTTAAACATCTGTACATAAGAATTTCACAAGCAGCTAGTATTTTAAGTATAAGATAAAGTGTTTTGACTATTCTCTCCTAAGAACTACGGGCACACTCAGTGGCTGCCCAGGTTATAAACACTGCTTGGAACCTTGTATCATACAGAGGATAGTTTAATATCCAGATG